TGAGGCAGCACATATCACTAGGGATATGTGTTTCCCAGGTAGGGGAACACATATCACTAGGGATATGTGTTTCCCAGGTAGGGGAACACATATTACTAGGGTTATGTGTTTCCCAGAAACGCATATCGCTGGGGATGTGTGTTTCCCAGGTGGGGGAATACATAGCACTAGTGATACTTGTTTCTCAGGTGGGGGAACGCATATCACTAGGGATATGTGTTTCCCAGGTGGGGGAACACATATCACTAGGGATATGTGTTTTCCAGGTGGGGGAACACATATTACTAGTGATACGTTTTTCACAGGTATGGGAACACATATCACTAGGGATATGTGTTTGCCCGGTGGTGAAGAGTTGACCAATGGCATTCCCTGTTTAGTTGAGTGAAATTCTAGGAATATTACAATTAGTGATGTGTTCACCTCTTTAAATGTGGCTTTTATCAAAGTCAATGAGGCAACAAAAGAAAATATCTTGGGTTTAACTTAGGCTTGGTGTCTAGCCTTGGGACGTGTTTAGATGTGGCTGTGATGAGTTGGGGTGCAGTTGCATCAAGATATCTAACTGCCATTTTAGAGTTGTAATTTGACTTAAACAAACCTGGATTATTTTACATTAAACTTATTTAGTTTATATTTTCCTCTGTTGTGTAGGAATAGGAAGTACATTACAAGTTGTTGGATACAAAATTGGTGCGTTATTTGGTGGAGGTGTACTTGCCTGGCTAAGTGTCTTCTTCAGTTGGTGGTGGCTCTTCTGTCTTTGGGGCTCTTTTTATATTTTATTATTTATCCTTGTAGTCATCAACTTTAAACAATCGCCACAACATGTCAAAAGTGATAAAATGCAATACGGTAATCGTTCAGCTAACATTGATGATCCTGTTCCATCAGAAAACGTCAAACGAATTAAGGGCACAAACAGTGAAAATAAGAAAGACAGTCATAAAAATCAAGGAACAGCTCCATCCATAAGTAAAACTAGCCATCTGAATGTCACACAGATACTAAAGAATATTTTGCAAACATCCGACTTCCATTGGCTCGTGTGTTGTGTATTTACATACAAACTAGGCGAACAAGGAGTTGTTGGCATGCTTCCTCTATTTTTGATGGACCAGGGAGTTCCCCATGATCAAGTAGGAGCACTATCTGGAATATTAGGTCAAACTTCCTCTATTGTGGGATCTGCTCTTGGGGGTTGGATTGTTGGCGCGCATTATGGACAGAGGTAAGGTTTTATCCTGGGGTGGTGGGGGGGGGGGGCACCCCCTTATGTGACTTTACCCGGCGCGGGTTATTTTTTACGGGCTGGTTGGGGGGAACCCGCTTAGGGGAGAAGAGACCTCCCCTCCTTTTCTCCCCCTCCCGTGTCCTTAAAATTTCTCCCTTTCCCCTTTAAACCCCGCCCCCTGCTCCCC